ATAGTATTTTCATTATTGAAGCCAATTCATTAGGTTGTTCTAATAATTTCTCCATTGCTCTAATTGTTTAAAATGTGCGATCAAAGGAAAACGTTCAAAATTTCAGCACATGTGCAATTTCTCAACCAAGTGTCCCCTAGTCTATAGAGGAGTAATTGAATTTTAAAGCAAAATCCTATGTGCCATTTTTTGAGTTCAGCGTTTGCTTCTGGACTGTTGGGATAATGTGGTTTAGCTACCCCACCAGCCTTGTATCCTCACAGACTCATGTTTCTCTCATGAGGCCGTGAGTGGAAGAGTCCGCACCCACCCCGCACATGAATTTTGGCTCTGTTCTGGTACAGTTCTGCTTTCTCTCACAGGTTTCCTAATCTCTCCATGCTTTGGTTTCCTCTACATATGTTTCCTATTTATCTAGCACCAAGTTATTACTTGCAAGTGATGTGTAAATTGCGGTCATCCTTGGTCTAGATGTGAGGAAATGGAGAGTCAGTTGGAAACTCACTAAATTGCACAGGACTCCACAGTGTTAAAATGCAGGAAGCAGTATTTGGACCATGGCAGCAAAACATCTGCTCTTCCCACACTGATGTTTGTGTGCTGTTGTGGTTTTGCTTGGTTTTTGTTTATTTATTATTTACAAAGAAAAATCACTTTTGGAATGAAGAAATCACTTGTTTCAACATGACTTTTATTCCTATACTGGTTTTCAGGGCATTTAATCCTCTCCAAACCCTGAGATGCGAACATGATATTTTGCATTTTTGTGCAAAAGGTCTGAGGCTCAAGGTGTTGATGTTTCTTTCCCTAAATCCTTAGGGTCACTGTGTCTGCGGCTTTAGAACATGGATTTAGAGAAGTTTACTCTGATTATAAACACTGTGCTCATCACCCTAAACGAGATGTCCCACCTATGTACCTAGTACCCATCCAATCAACATCCAAAGCCTCATTCTACAAATCAAGCTACTTTTCATGTCTAGTTAAAATTAACCTCCATTTAATACTACTGATCACACTTTCTCAAAATACTCACAAATTATTTAGTACCCTCCTCTAGGGTTCCCTGGGGTTTATCAGCAAATTCAGTGAATACTTAATTTCAGGATTATGCTTTCTTTCTTGAAACTTTGTATAATATTCACTCCACTAATCTGGTGATACTTATTCTGATCCTCAAGAATTGTCCATGACTCTAAACATCGGCAGGATAATTAAAAATACTGTGCTCTAATATCTATGAATCTAAAGAATGAAACACGAGTCAAACTGCAAGGTGCTCATTCCTAATTACTTAACAATATGGGGCTAAAATGTCTGGAACCCACTTTTCTCAATAAAATTGATTGCAGTTAGTAACGAGTCTATTCCTTTCTTGTTTATTTTTATTTAAGCATAAAGAAAATAACATTTTTTACAGCATTTTCCAAAATTTACATACTCTTTCAGTCTTCATAAAATAATTCTTCCAAATTCATAAAATTTGTTTTTTGAAACTAGTTCATATATGCTCTTCCCATTTATAAGATAAAATGTTCTTTAAAATGTGGAACATATGAAAATATTTGCTCTGTATCCAGACTTTATGTTGCATAGTGAACATTGTTTTAAAAAGGAAATGAAAAGAACCAAAGAATGAGGAAGAGAGAGACACAATAATAAAGATAATGTGCAACCGGGCTTGGTGGCTCAGCCTGTAATCCCGCGCTTTGGGAGGCTGAGGTGAGTGGATTGCCTGAACCTGTGGGTTCAAGACCTGCCTGGGCAACTTGGCAAGACCTCATCTCTACAATAAATCCAAAAATTAACCGGGCGTGGTAGCACCTGTAGCTCCAGCTACTTGCAAGGGTGAGGCAGAAGGATTGCGGGAGCCCAGCTGGTCAAGGCTGCAATGGCCGGGAGCGTGCCACTGCACTCCAGTCTGGGCGACAGAGTGAGACTACAATTCAAAATTAATTAATTAATTAATTGATTGATTAATTTAAATAAAGATGATGTGTATCAGTCTGCTTGGGCTGCCATAATACTAATGACGTAAAAAAATTTTTTTTTTTATTTTCTCACAATTCTGGAAACTGAAAAGTCCAAGATCAAGTTTCTGTCAGGGTTTAGTTTTTGGTGAGGACTCTCTTCTTGGCTTGTAAAAAAAAGCTACGTTTTCTCTGTGTCCTCACATGATGGAGAGAAAGAATATGATAGAGAAAGAGAGAGACAGGCCGGGCTCAGTGGCTCAGCCTGTAATCCCAGCACTTTGGGAGGCCAAGGCAAGTGGGTTGCCTGAGCCCACGGGTTCGAGACCAACCCGGGCAAATTGGAGAGCCCTCATCTCTACAATAAAAATAAAAGTAGCCTGGCGTGGTAGCACACACTGTAGCTCCGGCTACTTGGAAGGCTGAGGCGGAAGGATCCCCGGAACCTAGCAGGTCGAGGCTGCGGTGACCCGGTGCGTGCCACTACACTCCAGTCTGGGTGACAGAGTGAGACTCCAACTCAAAAAAAAGAAAGAAAGAGACAGAGTGCATCCTTATAAGGCCACAGTCCTTTCGGATTAGGAAGGCCTTTCGGATTAGGAAGGCGTCTTCGTTATTTTATTTATCATTGATTACCTCCTAAAGATCCTGTCTCCAGATACAGTCACTTCAGGGATTAGGGTTCTAACATATTTTGGGGTACACAATTCAGTCCATAGCAGACCATAATGTAGTATTTAGATAAAGTCAATTACTGGTTGTGTCAGACTGATTTCTATGTGGAAAGCCAGTGTACTATGGTGAATACCATACAATTAGTACTGTTGTCACATAGTACTGTTGTCAAGTAGTGACACTGGTCATTTATAAACTGTTGTCTGGCAACAAATTGTATGTGTCCATGCAATCTTTGTTTCTAAGCATGGAAAGTAAATACCACTTCTTTAGGAAATTGCGTTAAGATCCACAAAATGTTTATTCTGAATAGAAGTGTAAGAAATTCCCAAAAGCAAGGTTTCATTTGTTAATTGGTCAATCAGTCAATTTGTGAGTTTTTTTTAAAGGAAACATCTATAAATTAAATATATATATTAAAAAGAAAAAAGTATAAAGCTGATGGGCCTGGCATCCACACATAACTGTGATCTAACAGTTCAAGGGTAAGAAAGCAAATTTGTTATATCCAAAACAAAACCTAGGGCTGGGAGAATGAAGAAGCATATGACAAATATGTAGTGGCTTCTGTTAGTTTTAATGTCCTTCAAAATATTGACGCCTCAAACTTAGGTAGGAGGCTCCTGTTTCAATACTGAGCCTGGAACTCCAACTAAAAGATTAGTTCAAGTTCTAACTATTGATAATCACTTATATTTTGACATCTGGAAAGGAAATCAAATCTACCCATCTCAGAATCCCTCCCTCTTTCAATCTATCTTATTCATCCTATTTCCAAGTAGAAAAAAGGCAGCAAATCTTTCTAAAAACGATTAGCTTGATAAACACCCATAAAACTGTGACACTTGCTGTTGTTATGTGAAAAAGTCTTATCATGACCCAGTCTGGTAAAATTTTGCGATATAAAATAAAAATAAGATGAGAAGTATGAACACTCTGGTAAGGAGCATGTGTTTGATCAATGTGGTACTCAGTGTTTTTAATCCATACCACAGCAGCAACTGCCTCTCTGGTCTAGCTGAGTAGCAACACCAAATCCTAGAGGGTAGAACAAGGGTTATTTCACTGAGTACAGTAGAGGGACTGAGGGGATAAGCACACCTCACAATTAAGTAATGGTGAGCTGAGTATGAGATGTGCTGAGCTTGAGATATAGGCAGGTCATTCAAGGAGAAATCTCCTCTAAGAGACATAAATTTTAAAGTGGATGTCAAATTGTAGTTCTTAAAAATCCACAGACTACAAATAAGAAATGACACCATTTTGGAAATAATGTAGAGGAACATAAAGGATTGTAAAAGATAAGAAGAAAAGGAAGAAAGGATGAAATATGGGAGAAAGAAAGAAAAGGAAAAAGGAGAAAAGAAGTAGTGAAAACTGGGAAGACAAGAGTAACCTGAAAAAAAGAGAGAGGATTCTGGGAAGACTGTGAAACAGAAAGTGCTAGGAATCTACCTCCTCTCCTAGGCAACAATTGTGCTGGCAGAATCTATCAGCTGTAACTATTTTGGAACTCTGGAGTCTACTGAATGTTTGTCATTTCAACCTGACAGCTTAGAGTGTAAATTGTGGTTAATTTTGGTCAATTTCTGCTTTTAGTATGACAGCAGCTATCCATGCCTCAGCCATCAGTCCCATCACAGGCAGCTGTGCCTGTGTTCCTGGACCCGCTTGCACACAGCTTAGGGGAGCCAGGGTAAGCACAAAAGACCCTGTTCTCCAAATACCAGAAGTCTGTGCTCCTGATCACAGAAGTACAGACAAAACATGTGGGCGGCCATTGTTGCGGCACCTCTCTCTAGTGCTGTAAATTCCTCCACCTCTGACTGAAGTGACTATTGGGGAATTTAAAGCTTCTACCCGACCCTTTATTTTTCCATTTTCCCATTTGGGAGCCAGAAATTAAAGACCAGGAAATCCAAAAACAACTGCATAAATGGAGGAAGTTAGAAATCAACCACGCATGCCCAAAGGAAGATTCAGGCTCAGAAAAGACATAAGAAGACTTAACATTCACTTCTCAGGCTGATCCTCAGGACAGAGGGAGCCTACGGTCATCAAAAAAATAAAAATAAATTAAATTAAAAATACAAAAGCAAGAAACTATGGGGAAAGGGAAGAATCACATTTCCTGAGTTACCACATTATTAAATTCAAATGTGTAGTTTTCAACAAAAAAATCACAAAGCATAAAAGTATCAGGAAAATGTGACCATTCAAATAAAAAGTAAATAAAAAAGAAATGGTCCCTTAAAAAGACCTGATCTACTAGACAGAGACTTCAAAACAACTAGCTTAAAAATGCTCAAAGAACTATAGATGTGGAAAAAATTGAGAAAACAACATATGAACAAAATGGAAATAACAATAAAGAGCTAGAAAATGTAAAAAGAAACCAAAAGGAAATTTTGGAAAAGTATAATAACTGAAATTAAAAACTCACTAGAGGACTTCAAAGGCAGATTTGAGCACATAGAAGAAAGATTCAGCAAATTTAAATGTAGGACAATGAAATTGTCAAGGCTGAATAACAGAAAAAAGATTGCAGAAAAGTGAACAGAGACAGAGACGAATATACCAGCATACACATTGTGGAGCATTCCCCCCCAAAAAAGGGACAGAGAGAGCTTGTAAAAAACATAATGATGCTTTCTAAACTGATGAAAAACATGAATATAAACATTCAAGAAGCTCAACAAACACCAAGGATGATGAGCTCAAAAAGATTTGCACCAAGACACATTATAATCACACGGGTGAAAACCAAACACAAAGAAAGAACTTGGAAAAAAGCAAGAGAGAAATTTACTTGTCACATTCAAGGGATCCTCAATAAGATTATTGGCAGATTTCTCATCAGAAATTTTAGCAGTCAGAAGGCAGTAGTGAGCCAAGTGCTAAAAAAAGGGGAGAGGATTAGACAAAAATACTAATTCTACAGATTTTAAAAAAATTAGAAGAGTGTAATGAACAATTGTGTGTCACCAAATTGGATAACTTAGACAAATTCTTAAAAACACAAAACCTATCAAGACTAAAACAAAGAAATAGATGATATAAATTGACCTATAACTAATAAGGAGATTGAATCAGTAACTTTTAAAAAATCTCCTGACACAGAAAAACTCTGAACCTGGTGAATTCTTCCAAACAGATAAAGAAGAAATAGCATCAACCCTTGTCAAATTTTTTCAAAAAATTGAAGGGAGGTGCACACTTCATCTACAAGCATATGAACATTTGTATACCTAATCCTGAATTGTATTCTACATCTTTAAAATAAAAAAAAAATAATAAAGAAAAATTAAAGAGGAAAGAACACTTTCTAACTCATTCTATACCATGATCCCAAAGCCAGACAAAGGCAGTACAGAAAAGAAAACTATACACCAATATTTCTTATAAACACAGATGTAAAAATCATAAGAAAATACCAGCAAACATAATTTAGCAGCATATTTAAAGGATTGTTCGTATATACCATGAGCAAGTGGGATTTATTCCTGGAATGCAAGATTTTTCAATATACAAAAATCAATCAATGTAATACACCACATAGACAAAATGCAGAGAAAAAAAACACATAATCATTTCAATTGATGCAGAAAAAAAGCATCTGACAAAATCCAACATGCTTTAAATTTAAAAAAAATTAAGAATAGAAGGAAACTAAAGTAACATAATAAAAACCATATATTAAAAACTCACAGCAAAACATGAAAGGTTGGAAGCTTTCCTCTAAGATCAGGAACAAGGCAAGGTTGTTCACATATATCACATCTGTTCTGCAAAGTACTGAAAACCCTACAATTAGGCAAGAAAAAATAAATAAATACCACCTACACTGAAACGGAAAAAAGTGAAATAATCTCTGTTCACAAGTGCTAGATCTTATATGTTGAAAACCCTAAAGTTTCCACAAAATAACCATCAGAACTAATAAATGAAGTATCAGGATACAAAGCCAGTACATAAAAATCAATTGCATTTCTATACTAACAGCAAGAAGAGAAAATTAATTGGGCAACTTTATTTACAGCACCATCAAAATAAATAAAGTATTTAGGAATTAACTCAGGAGATAAAATAGGATTTAAACTTTCTGAATTTCAAGATATACCAAAAGTTACAGTAATTAAAACAGTGTGGCACTAACATAAAAGTAGACATATAGAACAATGGAGTAGAATAGAGAGTACAGAAATAAACTCCTTTTTTTTTTTTTTTTTTCTGAGTCAGAGTCTCACTCTGTTGCCCAGGCTGGAGAGTAGTGGCACACTCAAGGCCACCGCAGCCAAGACCTGCTAGGCTCAGGCAATCCTTCCACCTCAGTCTTCCAAGTAGCCAGTACTACAGGCACACACTACCACACCCAGCTTAGTTTTTTGATTTGTTGTAGAGACACAATCTCACCAAGTTGCCCACGGCTGGTCTCGAACCCCTGAGCTCAAGCAATTCTCTCACCTCAGCCTCCCAAAGTACTGGGATTACAGGCTTGGGCCACCACACCCAGTCCAGAAATAAACTCTTGTAAAGTATGTTGGCTAACATGTGAAAAACTCAGAACCCTTGTGCACTGTTGATGGAATGTAAACCAATACTGTAGCTTCTGTGGGGGAAAGTATGGCAGTTCCTTAAAAAATTAAAAGTGGAATTGCAGTATGATCCAGCAATTCTACTTCTGGGTTAATACTCAAAAGAATTCAGGCAAGTTCTCAAAAAAGGTATTTGTATACCCATGTTCACAGTCACAATATCCACAATAACCAGAACAAGGAAGTGACCCTGAGAAGTTCCTGAAATACAGGGCAACTGACAGAGGAATATGTAAGCACAATGATTACATACATGCAATGCAGTGTTATTCAACCTTTAAAAGGTAGGCTATTCTGATATATGCTATAATATGGAAAAATGAAATAGGCCAATCACAAAAGTACATATACTGTATGATTTTATTTTATATGAGGTATTTAGAGTAGTCAGAATCATAGAGACAGAAAGTAGGATGGTGGTTGCCAGAGTCCAGGGGATGGGGATGACAAGCCTTGTAGTTTAATAGGTATAGTTAGAGTTTTGCAAGATGAAGAGATTCTGGGGATGAATGGTGGCGGTGGCACAACAATATGAGTGTACTTAATACCACTGTACTGTATGCTTTAAAGTAGTTGAGATAGTAAATGTTATGATGTGTGTATTTTGCCATAATAAAAAATCGGAGAAAAAATAAAAGGAAAGAGGACTGCATAAAATAAACTACCACTTAACGGCCAGTTCCCTGCAGAAAGAGTCCATACAGTAATGCAGCCATCATAAAACCTTCAACCTCTAACCTGTCTATCTGGGCACCCAAGTATCTTTCAGCTAACTTAACTGAAAAGAAACATTAGCAGCATTTCCTTTAAAAATTTTTCTGAAAGAGATGTGCCAGATGCAAGGACTGCATCCCTTTCTTCATGACATGAGAGTAGTCATCTTATGAATGAACTGAGGGAGAGAAAGAAAAAAAGGGGGGAGGGAGGGGGTGATAGAGAGGGGAAGGGAGGGAGCGAGGGAGAAAGAGAGAGAGAGACACATACAGGGCCAGGGAGAAAGAGACACAGAGAAAGATCTTCATATAAACCGATATCTAGTTGAGTTGACTGGGCTCAATGCAGAATTTCTTACCATGTCTAGGATATTCCCCCTCTATCCCTACTTCAGTATCAACTCAACTGCTAGGGTAGTGCTACATAGAATCTGCCCTGTATTTCAGGAATTTCTCAGAATGATCATGAGGATTAGCCCATCAGCACCAACATAGAAGGTTTGAAGATGTTGCCATGGAATAACTAAAATGTGAAAGTCATATATATCCTCAAAATCTTGTCTTATTCCTTTCAGCCATATATAAAATGGATTCTGTGGAAGGAGAAAATGTTAGTTTTTCCAGCACGTTTGTCTTGTTGGGCTTCTCAGAGTATCCTTGGCTGGAGAGTCCCCTCTTTGGAGTGGTCCTGGTCTCCTATATTCTTACTCTGATGGGAAACAGCTTCATCATTCTTCTCTCCCTGGTAGAGCCCAGACTGCAGACGCCCATGTACTTCTTACTGGACAATCTTTCTGTGCTGGACCTGTGTGTCACCTGCACCATTGTGCCACAGCTGCTGGCCAACCTTTGGGGACCGGAGAAGACGATTGCTTCCTGGGGCTGTATCATGCAGGCCTATCTGTTCCACTGGACAGGCTGCACAGAGTGTACCCTGCTGGCAGTGATGGCTTTTGATCGCTGTGTGGCTATCTGCCAGCCCCTCAGCTACACTCTCATCATGCACCCTCAGGTATGTGTGCAGCTGGCAGCCGCAGCCTGGTCCAGTGGCCTAGTCAATTCCCTGCTCCAAGTCACACTCACCCTCCAGCTTCCCCACTGCGGTCACCATACCCTAGACCACTTCTTCTGCGAGGTGCCTGTTCTGATCAAGCTGGCCTGTGGTGACACCACTGCTAATGACCTGATCCTAGCTGTGGGTGCCATCCCATTTGCACTGGTAGCTCCCCTGCTGGTGCTCATCTCCTACGCTTTCATCACTAGGGCTGTACTGAAGTTGCCTTCAGTTGAAGGAAGGCACAAGGCGTTCAGCACCTGCAGCTCCCACTTGGTGGTTGTCATCATGTACTTTGGGCCAGCAATCTACATGTACCTCCAGCCTCCTGCCAGTAGCACCAAGGCCAAGTTCATGTCCCTCTTTTACTGTGTTATCACCCCACTGCTCAATCCATTCATCTATACCTTGAGAAATAAGGAGGTGAAGAGGGCATGGAAGAAGATCCTACAATCCCAAGGTGGGGTGAAATCTGGAAAAGTCAGATAATCTCTGCCTGTCTCCTGGATCAACCACAAGCACATGTCAGATTGTTGCAGAAAGTTGTTAGAAATATACTTCCATCTAGAGCATAAGCCACAAACTCATATATTCAGGGTCTATGCAACACTTTTTTAAAACCCACAAGAAATCAACTTACATAGAAAAGAAGTGATAGGAAAAGATAACAGAAAATAAAAGTATAATCCTTCCATCAGCAAGCCGAGGCATTCTCCCTAGCAAATCTCCCTGACATGCCAAATGTCTGTGGTCCACAACAATTCAAAAACCAAAATTAGCAGAGCCTTGATGGATCTTGTCACCAATTTTGAGAGCTTTATTCATCCATCTGTATCCATCTCAACTAAGAGAATGTTTCTGCTATGTTATAAGAATCCAGGACTTCCTCCTGTTGGATGGTGAAGCTTTGGCCTTGAACTCTTTAGGTGTATTCTGTGGGTGACTATTCAACCATAAAAGTCTGTGATTCATTTGTCAACTTTCTTTGGTTATATTCTAGTTATAAAGATGTTAACAGGACACTGCACCTGGGCTTGATAACAGAAACATGTTTATAAACAAAAGCAAGAGTGGCTTTTCTTGAATAATTCTCAGAGGATGAGCTTGTCTTCACTTTATCTGGGAAATCTTGGGGTAACTTGCTGTGGATCTCTGATATTGATTGAATATTTAATTAGTTCCCCCCAAGTTCATTTGTTGAAACCCTGATCCCCAATTTGGAGGTGGGACCTGTAAGAGCTGATTAGGTCATGAAAGTGGAGTTCTTGTCATGGGATTAGGGCCGTTGTAAGAGAAATAAGAAAGGTGCTAGTGCTCTCTCTCTCTCCCTCCCCCCCTGCCATGTGAGGATATAGCAAGAGGGAAGCCCTTTGTAACCCAGGCCCCTCACCAGGAGCTGAATCTGCCAGTACTTTGATCTTCAACTTCCCAGCCTCCATAACTGTGAGAAATAAATGTCTGTTGTCTAAGCCACCCAATGTATAGTATTTGTAATGGCAGCCCACATTGACTAAGACACTCCTTTCACGTGGACTGCAGACACCCCTTTCCCTTACGATTGGAGCATGCAGCTCCTGCAATGCAAGGGGCATTTCATGGGCCCTCCTATCCACAGCAGCAGTCCAGCACCAGAGCAGGTACGGTGTGCAGCTCCCACCAGAGGTGAAAGGAAGTCCCCAGAGGTAATATCTGAAGTCTTAAAGAACTGGCAGATCATCAGAAGACACTGTGAGACCATGAGCAGCAAGTGAGAGGTGCACCCGTGTGACAGTTCACCCAGGGTCTCAGTAGCCAACAGATACAAAGGTGGTCTCTGGTGATCCGCAGCTTGACATGTGTATATGCTTATGTGTCCAAAAGAAAGTAGCTTACTTGGGCTTGTGAAATCTTTACAGAAATATCTGCCCTGTGGGAAATTGGAGCTGCATGCTCCATACATTCTTATCAGATTGTTCCCCCCAAAAAATGCAATTATTCCACAGCAATTAATGAGTTAATTTTGCTCATTTCTATCACCACTGACCCAGACTTGAAATCTACCACAGAAGCAAAGGTTTAAAAGAAGGCAGTTGAAAGAATTACTCTAGAATGTTCTGCTCCAGACACTGTGGCCCCTAAACCAACTATGCACAAAAGAAACTTGGGCTCCAGCAGAGCTGGTGGGAGTGAAGACAGGTCTCCTCACAGAGAAAGCACAGTTCCCAGCTTCAGAGGGTCCAACAAGCCCCAGGTCTAATGGTGCCACAATGGAACAACATGGGAATCTGGAAGAAGGGTTCTTCTACCCACAGATGCTTGGAGTCTCATAGGTACTGTGAAGAGATAGGACTGAGCTGAGTCTTTGCTCCAGATGAAGAGAAGATTCTAAGAGAGTAAAGAGCACCTAAAAGGCATATTCGATCTTTGGAAAACTCCCATTGAACTCCGTGAGCAAATGCAGCCCTCAACTTCAAACCAACCTGGCCAATCAGACTAACTTTTCACCTGAAAAGGCCCCTGTCATTGTTTAATTAAATAAGTGTGTTAAACACTTATAAGTGAGAGTTAAGCAATGTGTGCACATGACATAGAGTGCGGAATGACAAACACTGGGAAGGGTGGCATGCTGGGGATGGGAGAGATGAGGAAGTACTTCTGTGTACAATGTACACTATTCATGTGATGGATAAGCTAAAAGCCCAGACTTCACCACTGCACAATATATCCAAACTGCACTTGTGCCCCCTAAATCTATACAAATAAAAAAATGTATCCCCGTGGCATCCTTCTCAAGCCTGGATTCAAGTCCTAAAATAGGTATTAACGAAGAGATGAGAAGTAGAGAAAAGACAAACCAGTGCAGCTTGCTGGGGGTTGGGGAAGCACACTTCATCAACAAGGCTACCTGCATAAAGAACATTTGTATATCTAATCCAGAATTGTACCACACATTTTTAAAATTAAAAAAAAATTTTTTTAAGAAACTCGACTTTTTTTAGCATGCTAATATCATATCTAATATAAATTAAATTATATATTATATCACATCTAATATTTATTTGCAGTAAATGTAAGACTTAGTAATATATAAATGCTTATATTTATTTATATTTATGTTTGTTTTAAAAAATGCATATAAGTAGATAGCTATATAGTTTTATATATAATTAATATAATCATGTATATGATTAATATAATTATATGCTATATAAGATTAACATATACAGCATATAATTTATATCACTTTTTATTTTTTAAGTTTTTTAGTAACTTTATTTAATTTTGATTGACAATAATTGTATATGTTTATAAATTACAATACATATATACATTGTAGAATGATAAAACTAGTAAATATTTATCATTTCTTTGTGATAAGAACATTTAAAATCATCCCTTTTAGCTTTTTTTTGAAACATGCATATTATTAATTAAAGTCACCTTGTTGTGCAATAGAACATGTCTTGATAAATTCTGGTACTGAGTGAAAATAATCTCCTTCTCAAAAAAGGCATTTGTAAGTCTCATTCTTAAATTGGCAGAGAATAAAATCCAAATTTACTTATCAGTAGGCTCACCTTTGCCTAGTTTTTCAGCACAATTAATAGCTTTTTTGTGAAACCAGCAATATGTATTCACAGCTACTATTGTCCCTTAATATGTAACATATAATTGTATAATTTACATAATTACAGAATTTACTTTTTATCTGAAAGTCTGCTTTATTTCTTTTTGACTAAATAAATGTATTAAGTAAACATCCCTGTAATGTCCTTCTCAAGTCTAGATGCCAGCCCTAAAACAGACATTGCAGAAAGATGAAAAATAGAGAAAAGTTAAACCTTTTATACATATAATTTATATTTATAGTATATAATTTGTCATATAAATGAACATATATTTCATATATGCATGTGTATATAATTCTATAAACATGGAGAGCTCTATTGAAAAACACCAGTGCATGTGTATTTTCAGAATTGGAGAGGACAGAGTACTCTAGAGAAACAGGAGGTAAACAAAGAAAAAGTCTGGAAATCTGGAAAGCTTCTAATTTTGCTCAAAGTTCTTTCAGCATCTGGGTAGCACTTCTCATCAGTTTCCCTACGAACCTCTCACATCCCCACAAAGCCCTAGTTCACATAAACACCGTAGAACAGGAACATCATAAGCCTTCCTTAAATAGATGGGATTATATCAAACTGAAAAGATTCAGTATAGCAAAAGAAACAGTTAACTAAATTAAAAGACAATCTACATGTCAGGAAAAAAATTGCAAACTATATATCTGCTAAGAGGTTAATACCCAAAAATCACTAAGAAAGCATATAACCCAATTGAAAAATGGACAAAGGACCTGAACAGACATTTCTCCAAATACAACATGTATATGACCAATAGGTACATAAAAAGATACTCAAGACCACTGACTATCAGGGAAATGCAAATCAAAACCACTATAAGATAACATCTCACACCTGTTAGGATTGCTGCTATCAAAAAGATGAGAGATAACAAAAATTGAGAAGGATGTGGAAAAAAGAAAATGCTTGCTTACTATTGGTGGGAATGTAGACTGGAAAACAGTATGGAGGTTCCTTAAGAAATTAAAAATAGAACTACCACATGACTCAGCAATCCCTCTTCTGGTTATATACCCAAAAGAGAGGAAATCACCACCTAGTAAAGATATCTGCACTCCATGTTCATTGCAGCATTATTCACAATAGCCAAGATGTGGAAACAACCTAGGCATCAGTCCAAACGGATAAAGAAGCTATGATACACACACACACACACACACACACACACACACACACACACACACACACACACCATAGAATATTACTTGGCCTTTAAAAAGGCAATTCTGAGCTGGGCTTGGTGGCTCAGCCTGTAATCCCACGCTTTGGGAGACTGAGGTGAGTGAATTGCTTGAGCCCGCGGGTTCGAGACCCACCTGGGCAGTGAGACCTCATCTCTACAACAAATCAAAAAATTAGCCAGGTGTGGTAGCGCGCGCCTGTAGTTCCAGCTACTTGAAAGGCTAAGGAGGAAGGATCGCCGGAACCCAGCAGGTCGAGGCTGTAGTGGCCAGGAGCAGCCACTGCACCCTAGTCTGGGTGACAGAATGAGACTCCAACTCAAAAAAAAAATAAAAATAAAAAGGCAATTCTGCCATTTACCACAACATGGATAGACCTGGAAGACAGTATGATAAGGATCTAACAAAATAAGCCAGACAAAGAAAGAAAATATGCTGTGTCTTTTTTTTTTTTTTTTATAAAGGGTCAAATATACAGAGATAGTGAATAAAATTGTGGTTTCCAGAAGTGGTGTGGTGGGGAGGAAATGGAAGTGCACGTCAAAGGATAGAAAGTAGCCAATATGTAGGATGAACGGGTCAAGATCTAGTGTACAACATGAGGACTGTAGTTAATCATAGCAGATTTTTTTTTTTTTTTTTTTTTTTTTTTTTAGTTAGGGTCTCACTCTGTCAGCTCACTGCAGTCTCAACCTCCTGGGCTCAGGCGATTCTTCCACTACAGCCTCTCGAGGATTTGGGACTATGGGTGCATGCCACCACACTTACCTCATTTTTACAATTTTTTGTAGCAATAAGTTCTTGCTATGTTGCTGATTTTGAACTCCTGGGTTCAAGCAATCCTTTCACGTTGGCTTCCCAGAGTGCCAGGACTTCAGAAGTGCCCAGCCAATAGTGGATTTTTGCTAATGGGTAGATTATAGCTGCCCTTGCAACAAGAGGGGAAAAGATGAGAGATGATAGATATGTGAATTTGTTTCACTATAGTAATAATTTTACTATATCTGCTTGTATTTCATAGCTTCATGTTGTATACCTTAAATATGCAAAATAAAATGTATTTTCTAAAAAAGAATAAGCCTTCTTATTTAAAAACCTCCACATTCATCTGATGAAATAGAATGTTTTATTTTCATTTAATGTCCTATTTAATTTGATCTTAAGCAGGAAACGTGAAGAGCAATGTGTTCCAATAATAATGTGTCTCAAAGCTAATAAGAATAGTATCTGTATTTTTCTTTGGGACTCGCATAAAACATATGACCATCTCAATATACAGCCTGTACTCTGCCATATTAATTGAATAAGTGTAGCAACTCTCTGAAAGTAATCTTAAGTTATTTAATTTGAGAAAACCTTTAGCAGTTATAAGCCATCAACAAATATGAAGAGTTACTTGTTGTTGTAATTCAGGACAATACTCTCAAATGATCTGCAAATGCTTTTTAAAGTATAATGTTTCACAAACACAAATTAAAATCCATTGTGATAAGTTATCCATCAGCTATGTCTCTGATGAAGGGTACTATTTAAGTGCCTTCTTCACCAGTCCTCCTATTTACTCTCTCTCTCTCTCTCTCTCTCTCTCTCTCTCTCTCTCTCTCTCTCTCTCTCTCTCTCTCTCTCTCTTCCTTTTTTAAAAAATCTTGAGTCTTGTTCCAATACCAGGCTGTTTTGATAGACCAATGGAACAGGATAGAGGTGCTGGAAGCAAAGCCTCAATTTCTCAACCAACTCATCTTTGACAAAGACTCCAACAACAAACCACTAGAGAGAAGAGAACCTATTCAGTAAATGGTGCTGGGAAAACTAACTGGCCACATGCAGAAGATTGAAACAGGACCCCTGCCTATCACCATACACAAAAATTAACTCTAAATGGATCAAAGACCTAAAACATAAACCCTCAAACTATAAGAATCTTAGAAAGTGCAGGAGACACCCTTA